AAACCTGCGGGGAACTCTGCAAAAAACGCATCTTCGCACGGGCAGCCCGTGCGTTGGCTATTTATTGCAATTTGCATATAGGCAAAAACGCATAAAGAGTGAAATATTGAAATGATATCAAAAGGGACCGATTGCCTATTTTTCAAAAACTGAATTTTGTTGTAAACATAGTAGATGAGTTTCAAATTTTAGTTTCATCAAAGATTTACTCGATATGACCGGTGAGTCAATTTCGTGCTACTGGATCATCACATGGCGGTTCATATCGCCAGTCATTATGTTCGTGCTGTTTTTCGCCTCCGTGATCAAGTCTTTTGTTGATTTACCGAAATATTATATTTATAATTCTGCAACAGTGAGTTCTTGTATCCTTTATTTTAAAAATCCCAAGTACAGTGTGGATGTATGTTAGCCTAATAACACCACAATTCTAGGGCTGTAAAATTAGAGAAGCTGAAAATTTGAGAATACAGACCTCCACAAATGTGAGTAATAAAACTGAAATTGTCATAATTAGTAGTTGTGGGATGATTCAAAAAAGATTATTATAACGCATGTCGATCACGCTTTACCCGTATTAATGCACCGCACCATTGTGTGGCTTGTTGACGACACCTACAAAATCATACCACACAGGCCCGTTTGTGCTTGTCACTGCTCATCGACGATTTCGAACTCATTACAAAATTTCACATTTTCCAGAGCCACCAAAGTGCGCAAGCGTATCCCGAATGGGCCTTAATTGTAGCATGTTCGATGGTTGTATTTGCAATGGCTCCAGTACCGCTGATATGGTTTGTTCGGAAATTCAAAATCGTAAATCTGGAAGCTGATATACCTACGGTACTTTATGCATCCATTTAAAAAAAATTGCGCCGTGTCTGAGTGACTAAATATGTATTTATGTTTCTTTCCTTCCCACACGATGACTCAACTCCCGAACTGTGAAAGCTGGAAAGCCGGAAATTTAGCCACACAACCCCAGGCCATGTGCGTGCCCAGTAAGCAGAGCCGGCCCTCACATTCCTCTTTGTCTACGACACGCACACTTACGATTTTTATGACCAGTTCCAGCGCGCATTTTAGTACCCCTACATTACCCTCGTTATGTCAGGGCTGAAAGTTTGAAACAATAGTCCTCAGCCGCTAGTTTCCTCAAAAAACGTCGAATGAAGTTTAAAGTCTTTCTGTGTCACTTTACACGGACACATACAGTTTTGCCTCCTTCCACATGGTTCAATTCCCAGCATCTTTTTGCGCCATCACTTCAGATGGAGATTTCAGATAAGGTCCAGAGGACATAATTCTCAGCCATTTACCGTAACCTAATCGAATATCAACCTGCATCTCTTTCAACCTGACTTCTGACCTCTACATAGTTTATGGCGGCAAACTACGTACTGAAAGCCGCAAGATTTTGTTTCAACTAGTAATATGAGGAAAATTTGAGGTCTTATTACAAGCCTCTTATTCGGTCCGTGACTTCAGATCTAAACTTGGGCTAATTTCTTAAATTTTAGACTATTAATTCTTCAAATAATTTGAAGCAAATAGCGCGCAGTAGTTCCTTGGCTTTTCTGTAACCCGAAACAAATCGACGGCTCCTTGGCAGAAAAGCAGCCGAGCTCTCGCGTTGTTTCTTTCTTCGAAAAGAAAACTATCCGTTGATTCTCACTGATGATGACCGCGCTAAATCTTGTAGCTAGATGAACTCCTACTTCAGCAGAGGCACAGTGAGATATCGAGCTGAGCATCGAAAGCAAGAACTTTTTACTTGATTTGAGCTAAAACTAAGCTTGATTTCAGCTTCCTTAAAAACACTTTTTAGGCACAAAAATGTCTGAACACGACACCAAGTACGACATATATGCTCAGATCCGAATCGGCGGTAAATCAAATTTCCCCGACCAGTACCGCCGAAATGCAGTCATTTGGAGCACCTTGTTCTCTTAGATAAATGTTTTTCTACATTTCCACTGAAATTTTCATTTCTGTAGTGCATCTTATTCGCTTGGCTATTTCGTGTAACAATATTTTATTCAAATTATATTTATAGCTGATGTTTGATGGTTTAATTTTTTTCCAATCATTCCTTCCGTTGGAAGGTTGTTTTCAATTTGAAATCATTCCTTCATGCTTGCACGAGCTTCTATGAAGCCAATAAGCTATATTTTGTACAGTATGTAGCTGATAGTAACAATGGCACAGAGTTAAGGTCGGTTGAGCATAAAGGGATATACCCCTTTTGTTTGAAAGAACGTGATAAATTTTTGTTCCTCTACGAAACGCAACAGTATTTTAATATTTTATGATGCTTGGTATTCATAATTATATTATTTTATTTACAATAATGGTCACTGCTTTCCTTATTAACATTACTATTGCTTTTATTAATTTTTTCCTATAACGCTTCTCTAATCATAGATAAAAAATTATTACTGCGCACTTAGGAAAACCGTCGAAAGAAATTTTTTTGCAAAGGTGCCTCTTCCGTCCTCAACTAAAAAGCCATGGCTACTTCAGTAAATTAGAACCTTTTTCCATAGCTTACACGCATTCGTAGGCTGTCACGGAATTGCTCGTCGAAAGATAGAAACGTATTGTACTTTTATTACTTCCTGCTCAAAATAACTCTGTCTCTCCCTTCCTCTCTGTCCAAAACGGCGCTCTTTGACCGAATCATATTTTTGCGCATGATTATTCAAATTTGACATTTCTCTGATGCATTAGCAACTAACTTGTTCAGGAATCGCTTATTTGCCTGCATTTGGCTTCTCGAACTGATTTTAGTGCCTTTTGAATGCGGCCTTTTGGATGCCTGTTTCATGCATTTACAATAAAATTACACTTTTTTAGTTGAGTTTTTGCTCTCCAAATGATACTACTGTTGCGATCGAATCCTACATCCCTCCAGCTAAATTTCCTGCCTGTCACTCAGTATTTGCCTTTTTCCTTGTTTGGCATTACTACCAAGAAAGAAGCGAGAGTTGCAATTTCCTGTCCTTTAAAATTTGGAATACTGCGTTTATGAATGTGGTTAAGAGATGCCTTGAGAAAACTTTTGGAGCTTAAAATTCTTAAAAATTCACGAACTCCGTCGGTCTTACAGCACCAATAGCAGCGGGGAACATTGAACGTACTCGATCGCTATTGGCTATCCACAAAAATGCATTGTTACTTTGATTCTTTTGTTGTGATAAACCCATTTTCTGGGTCTCCTGGATTTCCAGTATCAACAAATTATCTTTAAAACACCAACCTGTAATGCGGATGAAACGGAAGACTAAAATTCTGAAAATTTCAAGTTTGACAGAAAGATAACCGAGTTTGAATGAGCTTATTGTTTAAGCAATCAGGGTTTTAGGGACAATTACTCCAACTCGTTTGTTTTAGCCAACTCTGGCACAGTAATTTCCATATACAACCTTGATCACCAATAGATTTTTAGTACCGCAAAATCGAGATGTTGTGGGGCGCCTGTCCCGCTGCGCTGCAGTCAGATTCCGGAGCTGAAGTGTTTGAAAGTCAAAAGAGCCCTCGCAGAATCCTACTTAACCTAGTATTTTATCCGCAGAGCTGCGCTGTCTCCTTGATGGAATGGATATGGAGGCAGGATAAATACAGACCAGTCACGCTGTATCACAGGACACTTTTGCACATTTGTGAATAGCCTGCGAAATCCGTCAAGATTTAGATTACATTTGGCTGAAACATTTGCTTCTGAAAAGTTTGCTGATTTGGTACCATTACCCAAATCTGACTCTGGTATAAAATCAGTTCTAATTATTAATTAGTGAAGAAGTAGGCCTCTTTCTTTTTATCAACCAATGCATCACGATAAAATTAACAGCCCGAAACTGATTACAGAAGCGACGAGAATAAAAAAGGAAACTGATCGCGAGGGGATAGAGTAACTTTCAATAAGTGTGAGGAAATATGTACACAGGGCAACTATTCTGTCTAGTCTAAAAATTAAGCGAATGTTTCAGTCGATGATGCCTTCTACGATTTTGCTAGATCACTGTTGTTATTTGTTAATGTTTTAAACTGTTACTATTATTTATCTGTTGTTTAAACTTGTATAATCTCGCAGAATATCACATTCATAATCAGTATGCGGCACTTTTGATCTGAATTATCGGAGTGTATACCAACTGCCAGATCCTTCAAACGCCCTTCATTGACAACTCGCTCTCAACTTTTTGTCCTTTTTTGTTTCTCAGCTTACGTGGATTCGCCATTTATCTTCTTTGTTCATGTACGGACGTCAGCTAATTCACTTTTAATCAAACTTCTCTCAGTTGTTTGAGAACGAAGATCACTTGTGCTGCTATGCAGCACCACGTTTTTTGAATGTTGCACTGCAACTGTACTGGACAACTGGCGACATACGTGATAAGCCTCAGAGCAGCGTATCAGTTGACTGGATTAAAAGAAAATCCAAAAAACATAGAATTTTTGCCGACACTAGACTGTAGAGAAATGAAGCAAAAATTTGTCTTGATGTACAACAAATATTCAGAGCCAAGGCGCCTTGTTCAGCAACGTTGCAGCTGTGATTTGTGTAAAGCAATAAAGTTGGATAAATATTTGTTTCTTGTCGTTCACAAATCTACCACATAATGTAGAATGGAATCCTGCTGATGATATAAGGATGCCAGGTCCTAAACGATGGCCGAGAAACGTGACTCATACTTAGGCGGAAAGACTAATGAGGAGTAACTAGAGTTGTTTGCTCGGCATCAGATGTAGCTAGGAAAAAGACATACAGCTTAAAAAGATTACTGAAGACATAAGGGTCTGAAATGGTCTGGCCCGCATCTTTAAAATACAGGAAATTCGGAGGACTAACACGTGTAAAATACATTGTTTATTCGCATGGTTCCACTTTTAAAGTAATTACCAAATAAAGTACAAAGGCAATAACGACAAGAATACGATCAACAAGAATTATGAAGAGGTACGGAACTGCGAAAAGTCTTTCCAGACTTAGGTGGAGTTTGGCTTGCTTCCTTTATAGATTTGTCAGCCGCGGCCGAGAGTGGCAGGAGTGGAAACTACCGCAGTTTAAGACAGGCTAGATAATTTTGTTATCACCGGTTTTAGAATAAAATTGAACCCAGGCTGGAACGCCCCAGGCTTGCCGATGCGATCATGCGTTTTTGCACTAAACTCGCGGGTCGCTAATAGCAAGAGTAATCCCTGCGCTGCAGCCAAACATTTGGGCTCACATTGGCGATGCTTTGGTTTCTTCCGGCATGCAGCAGAATGGGTATCGGTTGGAATGAGCATATTGCATTATAGAGCCGCATGGACCTCCACATACATGATTATCAGTTCTCTGCATGAAGCTCGAGTCGTTTTTTCGGCAAATGCTCACCTTTTGAAAAAATGGAAAATGCAAATTTCCAGTTCACTAAAAAGTGGAAATATTGCTTGAGCAGTCGTTTGTCAAACCCAAACTGGAACGCACCGGGCGGGCCCCTGCGTTCATGCGTTTTTGCACCGGGCTTTAATTACTCAGGTCATTGACTGAATAGCTGTTGCTTTACATCTACCTTTTGCGGTCACTAGCATAAATCACTATAAACTTTGCAAAGTAAATGTATAATTTCCATTTAACAGTCGTTCTTTAAAAGTAGCCTGGCTGTTCAGTGAGAAATTCTTTCGTCAAGACTTTTAAGTGCCCGTACGTAAAAACCACGCATACCT